TTCTACTGAATCAATTCTATCACTGAAACTTTCCAGAGCATTTTGCATTTCTAAAAGTGTGTCCAAAGTTTCCTGAAATTTTTATTGTTTTTTTTTTTCTTTAAGCTATCTATTTCATTGAGTATTTCTCCCTTCACTTTTTGTATCATTTTTTGGATTTCCTTGCATTGGGCTTCACCTTTCTCTGGTCCCTCCTGATTAGCTTAGTAACTAACCTCCTGAATTCTTTTTCAGGTAAATCAGGCATTTCTTCTTGGTTTGGATCCATTGCTGGTGAACTAATGTGATTTTTTTTGAGGGGGAGGGGTGCCGACAAGCCTTGTTTTGTCATATTACCAGGGTTGTTTTTTTAGTTCCTTCTTATTTGGGTAGGCTCTGTCAGAGGGAAGTTCTAGGGCTGAAGGCTGTTGTTCAAATTTTTTTGTCCCTCAGGGTGTTCCCTTGATGTAATACTCTCCCCCTTTTGCTATGGATGTGGCCTCCTGTGAGCCAAGCTGCAGTGATTGTTGTCTCTCTTCTGGGTCTAGCCACCCAGTCAGTCTACCTGGATCCGGGCTGGTACTGGGGATTTCTGCACAGAGTCCTGTGATGTGAACTGTCTATGGGTCTCTCAGCCATGGATACCACCACTTGTTCTGGTGGAGGTGGCAGAAGGTACAATAGACTCGGGGGGTCCTTAGGTTTGGTGGTTTAATGCTCTATATTTATGCTGGTTGGCCTCCTGCCAGGAGGTGGCACTTTTCAGAAAGCATCAGCTATTAGTAGTGTGGAGAGGAACTGGCAGTGGCCATGGCCCTACAACTCCCAAGATAATATGTCCTTTGTCTTCCACTACCAGGGTGGTTAGGGAAGGACCATCAGGTAGGGATGGGGCTAGGTGTGTCTAAGCTCAGACTCTGCTTAAGCAGGTCTTGCTTGTGGTGGAGGGGGTGAGATTCCTATGTCACTGGAGTTGTGTACCTAGGAGGATTATGGCTGCCTCTGCTGAGTGATGCAGGTTGTCAGGGAAGTGAGGGAAAGTTGGTAGTCATTGGCCTCACCCAGCTCCCACACAAACCAAAGGGCCACTCTCACTCCCACCTTCCCCTCCACCAACAGCCCCAAGCCTGTTTCCAGGTGGAGGGCGAGTCAGGCTTGAAAACTTGACCAAGGCTTTCGGCCTCCCAGCTGCAAAAGAAAAGGGCTTTAGTTCTTTCCCTGCCTGTGAAGTCTGCAAGCCGGATTCACACCCTCCCCTGAGTTCTGGCAAGGAGGCTTCTGGCCCCATTCAATTTGTTACAAAGTTCAGCTAGAGAAGTCCTTCACCCTGTGGAGTCTTACCCCCTGCTCTTCTGGCTTCCCTCCTGATGGAAACCTGTGGTGCCAGGCAGGAATGGGCTGCTTGGGGATCTGGTGTGACCCCGGTGCCTTTCTGCTGCTTCCTCTATCCATGTATTTCACTTGGCTCAGCTCTCTAACTTGATTCAGTTCCAGGTAAGGTCAGGAACTTCTCCCACAAACAGACCTTCAGCTTCTCCAGTGGGAGGAGGGGGGTGTCCAGGACAGAAGGGTCTATCTTTCCCACGTCTGAGGTTGGGCACTCACAGTATTTTCAGTGTCTATTGGGTCCTGCAGGAGCAGTCTGCTTCCTTCTGAGGGCCTCAGGATTGCTGATCTGTTCTTACAATCAATCTGGAGCCAAAACTCACAATGCACAGCTCCACATGCTGCTCTTCCATAGTTGCAATCTAGTCCTGCATCCTGGCCGCCATGATCCACCCACTGAGTCTGTATATTTTAAATGGAAGATTTAATCCATATATATTCTAGGTTATTAATGACAGGTGAGGACTTCTGTCATTTTATTGATTGTTTTCTGGTTGTTTTGTATATTCTTTGTCCCTTACTTCCTCTTTACTTTTGTGGATAGGTGGTTTTCTATAGTAATAAGGTTTGGTTTCTTTCTTTTTTTCTGTGTATTGGCTCTACTGATGAGTTTGCTAGTTTTGCATGTTTTTTTTTCCTATAAAAAAATAAAATGACTATTTGTTGTTCACTTAGTGGTATTCTGTAAATCCTATAGGCTTTCTTCATTCTTTTTTCATTCTTTCTTGTCTGCCCGTTATCTTTCAAAATTGTCTTGAAGTTTAGAAATTCTTTAATTCTTTCTTCTGCTTGGTTTAGTCTGCTGTTGCAGCTCTCAATTGCATCTTTATTTCATTCATTGAATCCTTCAGCTGCAGGATTTGTTTGATTCTATACCTCTTCGTTGGATTTCTCAAATCATGAATTGTTTTCCTGATTTTGTTGAATTATCTATCTGTACTCTCTTGAAGCTGAGTTTCCTTAGGATTATTATTATTTTTTTTTTGGCATTTCCTATATTTTGTTATAGTTGGGGTCGGTTACTAGAGAATTGTTTTCCTTTGAAGGTGTCATGTTTCCTTGCTTTTTCGTGTTTGATATGTCCCTACATTGATTTCTATGCATCTGGTGGAAAAGTCAGCTCTTCTGTCAGATGCATAGAAATTTTATGGAATAGGTTTCATAGGGAAAGACTTATTTGTATGAATGAGTTGTGGGGTGTCAGTTCAGTGGAGTACATTTGCCTTAGTTCCAGCTGGATGGAGTAGTGTATAACGTTTCTTCAGCTGCAGTCCACATTAGTGATATTTCTCAGGAGCCTAGGATGAGAGAGTTTGTGGCAATTGGAGTGGGCTCACCAGGCTATTTTGCAAGTTGAGGCCAGATGTATGCACATGGTTAATTAGCCAACTTGGAGTCTGGCTTGCTGGAGTTGGAGCCACAGAGCTTTTACTTAGGCTAGGAACATGGGCATGTGGTTGTTCAGTCAGCCAAGGGATGTGTCTGCCAGGGGCAGCCCATGGGGCTGTTTCTCAGAACTAGAATGCAGGCACAAGGCTGTATAGCTGGCCTGGGGGCACATTTGCTGGGAGTGGCCCACAGGGCTGTTTATCAGGCCTAGGGCACAGGTGCAAGTCTGCTTGGCAGGCCTGGATGTGTGCCTACAGGGGGTAGCCCATGGGGCTGTTGTTCAGGCATGGTATGCAGACCCACAGCTGCTCAGCTGGCCTGGAGGCATGTTGGGTAGGGCCAACTCCTAGGGCTGTTTCTCAGGCCTGGGACATGGTCACACAACATCTCAGCTGGCCTGGGTATATGTCTGCTGAGGGTGATTCCACGGGACTGTTTCTCTGGCTCAGGACACAGGCACATAGCTCCTCAGCCAGCCTGGTGGCAAACCATTGAGCTCCTTCTCAAGCCCAGGATGTGGGTGCAAGGCTGCTCAGCTAGCTTGGGATCATGTGTATTAGAGGTAGTCCATGGGGCTATTTCTCAGGTCCAGTTCATGGGCACACAGCTGCTCAGCCAGCTTGGGAATCTATTTGCCAGGGGTGGGCACAGGACTATTTCTCAAGCCCATGACGTCGCTGCCTATTTAGCTGGACCAGGGGTGTTTCTGGAGGGAAGGGGGTCAAAGTATCTTTATTTCCTACTGGTAGCTGTTAGGAATTTTATTTCCCAACTCTGGGAGTGAGAAATATTCTATCCCTTTATTTTACTAAACATCTGCTCAAAGTCCCAATCCTGCCAGATTCAAAACTCTTATCAGTCCTAAATCTAACCTGATTGCTTGGTGAGTCATTATAAAGCAATTACTTGGGAGTGCCTTTGATAATAATACTGCATACTTAAACACAGTTGCTGTACTGTAGGAATCAGTAACCTCATTAGGGATTCAAAAATACACACATAGGAAGTTTGAACAACCTAAGAATGGAAAAATATCACAAGGGGAGGGATGCATAAATATTGCAATGCATGCTACTGGCTCAGAAGGAAGATGGCACCATATGCTAGAATGACCTGGATGACAGTCAGAACTGTTTATCTGACCCTTAAGCGTGAATAAGATTTTTGAGAGACAAGAGGGAATCCATGTCTTAGGTGGGAAATAACCTAACCAAGCCTTGGAACTAAGACAAGAATTGTGTTCAAGGCCCAGATAACTGGCCTGGTTGGAAGAAAATGTTCATATTGTACAGGGCAGGAATTTGGGACTTCAGAGGTGATTATCTGGTAATTTAGGTAGTAAATAGTGAACTGCTAATGTCAAGGAGTTTGAATTTTATCCTATAATGAATGGCAAGTTATTGAAGGATTATGAGCAGAGTGACTAGATCAAACTAGTGTTTATCTCAAATATGTTTCTGATAAATTTAGACCTTAGGGAGCAACTAAAACAATCCAGGTATACAAAGAAATGAATGAAAGCAGGATTGAAAGATAATGACCTATCGAGAGAAAGAATCAGCATTGCATTGATTTGGCTCCCAGATTTTGAGTATTGATGGCCATGAAGTATTTGACCAAAAAGGATAATTCTATGGCCGGGTGTGGTGGCTCACGCCTGTAATCCCAGCACTTTGGGAGGCCAAGGCGAGCAGATCACGAGGTCAAGGAATTGAGACCATCCTGGCCAACATGGTGAAACCCCGTCTCTACTAAAAATACAAAAATTAGCTGGGTATAGTGGCGCAACCCTGTAGTACCAGCTACTCGGGAGGCTGAGGCAGAATTGCATGAACCCGGGAGGCAGAGGTTGCAGTGAGCCGAGATTGCACCACTGCACTCCAGCCTGTTGACAGAGCAAGACTCTGTCTCATAAAAAAAAGCGGGGTGGCGGGGGTGGGGGGCGCGGCGGCAGGGGGTAATTTTGTAAGAGAGGACAGTTTTCAGAACAAAATGATGATTGATTTTAGACAGGAAGTTGAATGATCATACCAGCTAATGATATCTATAATCATTAAAATCTCACGAGTTCAGGCTGAAGACAGAAAAGCAAAGGGTTGTGGGCTGCCCTTGGGCTGCAACTCTATTTTATGGGTCAGAATGAGATCACTATAGAGAAGCAAAAAAAAAAGTGTTCATTGATTCATGATTCTTGGCTTTCATAAAAAGACTACATTCAAAAAACAGGGTAAGTCAGGCCAAAACTTTGTTTTCAGGTTTTTTAATGACAAAATATTCATAAATCAAACTTTTATAAATATAAAAAAATTAAATACATTTCATCTGAATACACAAAGACAAACCCTGCTGTAAATACTACATACAAATTATTCTGTGCTGGACATGGCAAATTTATTTAGTACAAATTCAGTTTTTAAAAGGAACCTCTTTCCAACTAGTGTTCTTACGCAACATTTAATTTTTCTGCTTATTTCAGTGACACACCTAGCTTTTGCTTTTCAAAGCACTGTTCCCTACATTTTTAAAGCATCTTTTATTTCAGAGTGCAACAGAAACTAGCTTGTAGCCTCTTAAGCTACTAGGTAGAGCATCATTGATGCCACTATATGCCTGCTTAGGCCCTTTATCATTTCTCTACACTTGATTGCTCAATGGCTATTCAAAATTGGAATGTGGTACAGCAGTTACAGTTCTGTCTCAACAAGTACCAAACTGAAAATCAGATGGCTAAATAATTTCTTATTTTTGTTAACAATTTTAAATATTGCTAAAGAAAGAATTCTCTATAGGAGTAAGGTTATGAGCAAGATTAAATAGCAGCAGCAGATCCAATTGTGTTTTCTTTTTCATAAGCCTAAAAGCATTGTGGTGTGTTTCAGAGCTGCTTCCTCTACAAATTCTGCATCCACATTGTCATGTTGTTCAACAGGATACAGGGCTGGAAAAAAAATAGGGGGCAGGGAAAAAGGGTTACTACCAAGCCGTGAAACATTTATAACTTTGTACTCACAGCTCATTAAAATCTTAATTATATTTTAGTAAAATGATTTTTTTTGAGAATGTGTTCTTTAAATTTCAGCACCAAGAACATGTGCATCACCCATATGGGCTTTACACTTCTTAACTCTTCTAAAACTTCAGAGGTAATTTGGTAATTTAGGTAGTAAACTGTGTGCTGCTAATGTAAACCAATTGCTATAAGGACCTACTTGTATGTTAAAAGGATTTTGGAAAGAAAACAGTTCACAGAAGTGAATAGGGAAGGACTGATGTCAAGAGAAAAATGGGAGGACCCTGGGAACAGTGGAGTAAATTACCTTGATTGGTGGACTCTATATCTGTTAGAATTTCGATGAAGTAGTTCAGAGGCAGAAATTCTACACTGAATGATGACTTGTCAATCATAGAATTCCGAGGCTAAAAGGGAAACCACTTCTGGTTTAAGCCGGTTCTCCACAATAAGCACAGTTTTATAATAAAGTGTAAGAATTATAATTTTTGTCCATATAGATAGGTTGTCATGGGCCAATAGGATCCTAAAAAACATTTAGTTGGCTGTGCTTTCAGAGAAACTCACCTGTTTCTTATAGTTCTGAAGCAGTCGCATCACATGGTTCCGTGAAATGATGTTAGAACTCATAGGATGATCCCAAAGTCTACAGATCTTCTGACCAATAAGCTATTATGCAAATGGAAAAATATGTAGAGAATATACTGAATACTGCATTAAGTAAGCATACCTTGTATCTATTCCTAATTTTGAAAGTATTATTCCAACGTAACTGGTTAGTCTAAAAGACAGGCACTTAAGGACCCTTGGAGAAATGCCATGTTCCTATGACATTTCTAGGAGCAAATACTCCCTCAAATGCTACAATGAGGAAAGTGGTTTATACCTTGATGTTGCCAAACTCTTTTACTGAAATGGAGTGTATCCACTGCTCTTCAAAACCGGAGATGGGCATGCAAACTCCATGATGTTTTCACAGGAAACTAGAGGGTGGAGGCATGTTTATATCAACTTCTCTGCCATTGTCTTGCCTAGAAAATTTCACTTCCCTAAGAGTGTTTGGAAAATAATCAAATTGGGAGACCAAATTAAATATTCAGCGATGTTCCCCAGAGAGATCTAGCTATGGAAAATATGCTTTGTTTTCTATTCTTGCCTTTGCTTCAGTAAGCCTGTGAGGGGGAAGGGCTATTACAGAGCAGGGTGATTAGGTCCAGAAAGGCAACAAGATCTCCGTGGTGAGAGGACCGTGCCAGAGGTGCAAATGAGCAAGGCGTGTAAACAGCAGATGGAGCTGGCTGAGGCTGTTCAGGTCAGGAAATTTGCAGAGTTAGAGGCTTGGAAGACCTTGCTGTGGAATGTCTTATTTTCATAGTATCTCTGACTCTGAGAGTTAATATTTCCTCACACAAACACACACAAAGTGAGTGCCTTTAAGACACTTTCCCTTGTGTTTCTCATTCTTCCTTTGACCTAGGAATGTTTTTCTACTATGGTAGAAATGCAGTAAGGGGAAATACGGTTCTAGAACCTTCTTTCCTCACCTGATTCAAATGTATCTGTTTAAATGCCAACAGCATATTTCCCCTCTTCCCTCCTCTCAAACTCAGATGTAAATATTAGTGTGGTTTCCTAAGAAGCAAAAATGGCCTAATGTTCTCACTGGACTGTGCCAAGGCAGTGCAGAGCCCGAGGAGCAAGTGCTCTGTAGGCCCAGTGGGAACCAGCTGACAAGAGTGCTGGGGACGGGTGGGATTTCTTGGAAGCATTGAAAAGTGAAAAGATTCAATTGACTTTAACCCAAAGTAAGTAAATGCTCTTCTTGCAAGAAGGAATTGAAGGAAGGTCATGCCAAAGCTTAGGGAAAAACTAAAATCTAATTCAGGATTACCGGAGGAAGCCGCACAATGATACTGAATTTCAGTTTTTCATTTTTCTCTGTATTGTCCAGATCTACAAGAAAATTAGAGATTGACAAATTAAACAAATACCCATTTTGATATTTCAGCAAGTTAACATTAATACTTGAGTGGTTCATCTTGACACAATATATATCCCAACCTTGTAGCCTCAAGCTAATCTAACAACATTTTGGAAATTTTACTCTGTGACTGTCTGAATAAAAACATATTTTTCTATAACAGGCTGCTAGGTGCAAAGCAATTTTATTGACTAACAACAGAAGGTAACTTGAGGAATGACAAGCTTTCATATATTAAGAAAAATCATCTGAAAATATCATAATTGAATAATTTGAATGATTATACTACAGAACTTAAAGTTCAAATTCATATAAGCATTGCTTCTCTCTACAATTTTCTTGCATTTCTAGTCTAACCTTGAGATGACAGAGTTAATCAGCTGAAAGTAACCCATTTCATGACATTTTCTTGAGAAATGAACCTGTGGAGGCTCCTAGCCTTAAGTGCCCTCTTGCACAGAAAAGTAATCTAATAGTTCTATGTTGATTGAAAAGTCCCTTGGGACCTCTTAAAGGGCTAAGACACTTTAAATTGGCCCAAAGGATGATTACAGGGAATGGATTGTGCTCACAGGACCAGCTTATATAATCTGTGAGGCTCAGCACAAAATAAACATGAGCAGGCCCTTGGTCAAATATTAGCCCTTGAAGAATTTCAAGATGTAATACAGCATTAAACTGAGCAGGGGATTCTTCTGAGTCGGGCTCTTTGTGACCGCACGGGTTACACACCCAAGAAGCTAGCCTTGGTAGTGTGCAGACTGGAACTAACACTCTGGCAAACTAAGGGCCTCTTACCTTTCATGAGCCTTGTGACTGCTGTTTCGGTGAGAAGCAACACTCCACTGTCAATGCAATGCAGCAGGTTATGCAAAGGGAGACAGTGGACCCCGAGGATGGTGTGCAGAGTATGAAAACCTAGGATGAGAGATCCAGAGGGTAAATGCAGTCAGCCAACAGCTCCAGCAGCCCCCAGGGAATGGATTAGATCATGTTAATAAAGCACTTAGTTCAGTGCTTGGTGCCTGGAACCAACTAAATTTCTTGAAAACAAGGTCCAAGTTTCCTTCTCTGTATTATTCATAACTTCTCTCTATTATTCATAAATATCGTGCTGGGTCTATAGTAAGTTTCCAGTAAGTGTATATTCCCTTCTTGGGTCCCTTCCTATGCAAAAAGAGAGCAAGGCCTGCTCAATGAAAAATGGTTTTAGAGGTTGATATGTTTGTGATTCTACAATAAGATAGCAAAAGAGTACAGAGCACTTCAGACTTCATAGGTCCAGACTAAAAGGTTGTTGGGATGAGGACCATTTTGCTGAAGGGAAACAAATTTGGACCAGAAAGGAATTAGTTCATATGGCTGATCTCTGGATATAGAGAAAGGCTTTTAGAGTCTACTTGGACTAAAGTATAGAAAAGAAATAATTAAAACATGGACAAATAGCAAATTTATGGGAATTCAGTTGAGAGGTAGGCACTCTCTCAAGCCTGTCTCATGGGCAGAGCTACCCACACAGACCCTGATTTCTAAGTGTACTACTACTGACAAAAGACAAAAACAGCATGCATAGGAGACAGTATCAGACCAGGAGAGAATCAGAACAGCTCTTTTGGAAGTGATGGCATTTGTGGGGAGTTTCAAAGGATAGATACAATTATTATGAGTGAGGATAGTAGAAAAAGCCAGGTTTGGCATGAGCAGCCCTACGCCAGAATCCTGCTGTATTACTCACCAGTTGCAGGCAACTCAGCCTTTCTGAGCCTCCGTTGCTTCATCTCTAAAATGAAACCCGCAGTACCTTTCTCACAGGATACTCTCCAGTTCTCATATTCCTTTTCTGAACTAGAGCCAGGTCTGTGAAGAAGCTTGCATGCAGTGTAACAATAGTGACCTATACTGGACATGTACTAAGGCTTTCAAGCTGTGTACTGGCTCATTTGATCCTCATACAAAACTACGGGGTGGGAATTACCAGATTTCCGTTTCATAAATGGAAAAGCCAAAAGCCAAGATTCACAGGAGCTAAGAAAGTTGGTCAGGATCATGTAAATAGTAAGTTGTAGCCTGAAATTTGCATTGATTGTATGATCATAGTGCAGGCTTTTAACCATAACATCACTGTTAATAATTCACAGCTGTATTAATAGAACACAAACAGAGGCCCAAAGATGAGAAAGCATAGGGCACAATCAGAAAATAGTAAATGACCTAGCTTGGTTGGAATCATATTCGAGGAGAATGATTAAGAGTTAAGGTTTGAAATGCTAATTTACTCAGCACATCCCTTCCACACACCTGGCAAGGGGCTAGGAGTACAAAACTAAGCAAAATAGGCACAATTGTGCTTCTGTACACCTTGCAGTCTGGTGGGGGAGACAGACAATTATAAAAAATAAATACACATTTTTAAAAATGTGACTAGTTGTATGCTATGAGTGCAGGTGACAGGGCTTGAATGCTTAATGACAGGAATCTATTAACTTGAGAGACTTTGGGGAGGCAATAAAAGTTTTTAAGCAGGACAGAAAGATTTATCATTGGGACATTAATATGGCAACAGGCAAAGAATAAGCTGGAGTAACAATTTGCTACAGAGGTATGAAGAACTATAGAGAAGCTATTGCCTGAACATGGATAAGAGGTAATGGAGGCACTGAATCAAGGAGACCCAGTAACATGTACAGGCTTTGCAACTGATTGAATGTGGGAACGACAGAAGAATCATAGCCTACTTTTGGGAAGATACATGACAGAAGGATGATGCCCAACAAGCAGGGCTTGGATTCAGAGAAATCATGGGATTTTCTCTAAACACGTGAATCCCAAGCCATGGGGCACAGTCCTAAGTCCTTGTAACATCAAGGGTCAGATGAAGTACAGGCTCTGCCCACAAGCATGTGTTAATGGGCTGACAACAGGATGAGTGCACTAGCTTCCCTGAGTCCAAAAAAACTCCACTATTTTACTAGTTAATCAACAAGATTTTTCAAATGGATTTAGAAATTCTTCACAAAACTATTAGTAAAACAAAGTTAAAAAATTATTTCTGAAGAAAAGTTTACACTAGATTATTGATCCGATTAATTTTCTGGATTCAAATTTCCCTCTTCAGCCCTGTGTTCATACCCTAAAGATCCCTGATGACTCTTCATCCTCTATCCCCAGGGCACAGTCTCAAGTTCAGGGACCCGTTCTTGGCCTCTGTACATCAGCTCTGAGCAACAGAGCAAATTGGCTATAATTAGTCATCAGCTCCACCCAACTTGAGTCCTCATCTTCCAGGGCTCCTGGCCTCCTCTAGCCAGCAAGTGCAATACAGTTCCTTTTTTTTTTTTTTTTTTTTTTTGAGATGGAGTTTCGCTCTTGTTACCCAGGCTGGAGTGCAATGGCGCGATCTCGGCTCACCGCAACCTCCGCCTCCTGGGTTCAGGCAATTCTCCTGCCTCAGCCTCCTGAGGAGCTGGGATTACAGGCACGCGCCACCATGCCCAGCTAATATTTTGTATTTTTAGTAGAGACGGGGTTTCACCGTGTTGACCAGGATGGTCTCGATCTCTTGACCTCGTGATCCACCCGCCTCGGCCTCCCAAAGTGCTGGGATTACAGGCTTGAGCCACCGCGCCCGGCCAGTTCCTTTTTTTAAAAGCAAACGCCCTAGCTCTAAACCATCACATCCTTCTTGTGATCCTCTTAACTTTAACCAATTCACATTACAAGCCTGACACTTGTAACTCAAATAGTCCTCATTAGTCCAATAGGCCTGAAAGCAAGCACACTACATGTGCATGTAGAAACACCCTGAATTCATACATAGGCATGCACATGCACACACATGATCCAGTGTCACTTCCCCCCTATATTTCCATGTCACATAATGGAAATAAATATTTAAGAGCAAAGAAGAGAGAAACAGCTTTTCCTTACCTGATCCACAGACACGAACCCTAAGTCTACTTACAATAATTCTCGATCATTATGGATAACATTTTTCTATGTTTTCCTTCCTTATCCCTGTGAAGGAATATGAGCTGGGTAGGAAGTGGATTTTATGATCTCCAGGCATAAAAATGTCCACAGTAAGCCAGTTTCCTTTATTTTCAAAAGGAGCTCGAATATCCATAATGAACAAATCTGAAATTGTCCATCCATTTCCCTACCAATTTTTTTGTGTTAACAACAATTAAGAATTTAAGCCACAAAAGTAGTTTTCCTAAAATCCTTCACTCTTCTAGGGTATACCTTATAACTCATATTCCACTGGGATAATTTTAAACCATCCATTCCCCTCATGAATGGTCACTTTCAACTCCTTTTGTACTGCCGCTACAGAGAGACATTAAATAAGGTGATGGATGGAGGAAGAAAGGATTCCAAATCGTATCAGATATATCATAAACACAGAAAAGCATACGCTGTAGGGATTCTTTAGGCCCATAAATAGCCCATGTTTCAACGTCAACTAATTCAACTGGAATATAAAATTCAAGCAGCAGCATGGATTGTGGAGTCAGATTGCCTGGATTTGAATATCAGCTCTGTCATTTAATAGTCATGTGACTTTAGGCAAAATTACTTAATCTTTCTGGCCTCAGCTTCACCATATATAAAATGGGAATAATGTTAAGTTGAACTACATGTGCCATTTTTGCTGGCTAAAAAATGGTGGGATACTGACAATTTAATGCAGTCCAATTCAAGTTTCTACCAGTTATGAATGTTATGAAAATTAAGTATGTGAATTTGTGTGTACTTTGAACAGTACCTGGCACAAAATGGTTACATATATACGCTGGCCTAAAATGAACGAACTAATGATGAATGGATGGATAGATATGAAGTAACTAAAAATCAGCTGATATGTAATTACAGCAATCAAAGTTTTACATTCATTAGAACTTATATGCAATAATACACCCACCATTCATATACAGGCAGCTAATCTTCAGAAGCACTAAGAACACATAATGGGGAAAGGATCACATCTCTGATAAATGGTGTTGGAAAGCTGACTGTCCACATGCAAAAGAATGAAATGGGACCTTTATCTTAACCATAAACAAAATTCAACTCAAAATGCATTATAATATTAAACATAAGACCCAAAACTGAGGAACCCCCTAGAAGAAACATAGAGGGAAATCTTCTTGACGTTGGTCTTGGCAATGATTCCTTGAATATGACATCCAAAGCACAAACAATGAAAGCAAAAATATGTAAGTGGGACTACACCAAACATAAAAGTTTTCACACAGCAAGGGAAACAATCCAGAGAATAAAGGCAAAACCTACAGGATGACAAAAAAATGTTTGCAAACCATATATCTAATAAGGAGTTAATTTCTAAAACATATAAAGAACTCAAACCTCAATAGCAAGGAAACAACTGGATTTTAAAAAATGAGCAAGGGACTTGAACAGACATTTCTCCAAAGATTACAGACAAATGGCCAACACTTACATGAAAATATGCTCAACGTCACTAATCATCAGGGAAATGCAATTCAAAACCACAGTGAGATGTCACCTCACATCTCTCAGATTGGCTATTAGCAAAAACCTACAATCGAAGTGTTGTCAAGAATGTGGAGAAATTGGACCCTTATACACTATTGGTGGGAATATGAAGTGGTATAACCACTGTGGCAAATGGTACAGAGGTTCCTCAAAAAAATTCAAAAAATATATATATATATATATATGATCCAGTAATCTCATTTCTGGGTAAATATCCATAAGAATTGAAATCAGGATCCTGAAGAGATATGTATATACTCCCATGGTTATCCCAACATTATTCACAATAGCCAAGATAGGGAAACAACCTAAATGTCCACTGACAGATGAAGAAAACGTAGAATATACAATGGACTATGACTCAGCCTTAAAAAATGAAATCCTGCTCCATGTGACAACACGGATGAAGCTGCAGGTCATTATGCTCAGTGAAGCAAGCCAGTCACAGAAGGGCAAATACTGCACGATTCCACTTACATATGGTATCTAAAGTAGTCAGACTCTTAGACACAGAGGGTAGAACAGTGCTTGCCAAGTAGCTGGGGAATAGGGGGACAGGGAATTGCTGTTCAACAGGTATAAAGTTTCAGCTGTCAAAGATAAGTAAGTTCTAAAGATCTGCTCTACAACATTCTACCTATATTTAACAATACTGTATTGTGCATTTAAAAATTTGTTAAGAGGGTAGGTCTCATGTTAAGTGTTGTTACACAATAAAAACTGAACTCATAATGAGCACAAGATAGTTTATAGCTAATGGGCTTATTTCTCATAATGGATACTGATTTCTATGTACATCCCAACTAGTCTCTTCCTAATCTTTGTGCTCTAATTTCTAGCACATTACCTCTCATGTCATAGTTGCTCAACAAGTGTTTGTTGACTAAATGAACACATAACCAATTAAATGAATGAATGCATATACATCTCCCAAGGGTGTTTTGTGGCTTGACTTGATCCTATTTAAAAATTCTAAGGGGAAATTTTTACCTTCCAAATGCATAAGAATCAGTTCAATTCTTGGCATTGAGCCAGACCCACTTCCTAGTGTTCACCTTCAGATATCTCAATCAGATAAACTAGGCCTGGAGACATCAGAGATAGAGCTCTATAAATTAGTTCTGCTGGTTCAGATTATCCTAGAAAGCTGCACAGTGTTAAGCCCAGGTTCTCTAACGTTAGTAATAAGCTACAGCATAGTTTAGTAGTCAGAGGAGCTCTGGTCAGCAGAGACCAACCTAAGGGCCCATCACTCACAGCGATACCAGACACACAATTTCTCATATACAAGTCTCATCATCAAACTTATAATGTACCAAGGACAAGAGCCCATATGAAGAAGAAATAAATTTATTACACCAAAGGACAAAAGAGCCAACACTTACCAGGAGGCAGAGGTAAAAACAAACTGTTTGTAGCTTCCAAAATCCTAGTCATGATATGAAAAACCGCAAATTCAGCAGCACTGCCATGACTATTGCTGGGTTTAAAAAAAAAAAAAAAAAGGCAACAAGCATGTCAGCCAAAGAAGTCATCTGTGACACCCCTAAGCAGTGGCTTTGAGCACTACATAAGGGTTCCCGCTAATCACAAAATGCTATGTCCTGCAGATAGCCCCATAAATGACTGTGACCATCAGCCTAATGCCTAGAATTTAACAAGAGAGTAGGCACATATGTTATACACTGTACCAAGTGTACAACTGCCTTCTTGGCAGTATTGGGCTCATTTGTCCCTCCCTCATCACCAAGCATGTGCCAGGGAAAGATGATGGGTAAAATAACAGGGGCATACTTTTAATTTTTATTGTACATTAAAGGGTACACATGCAGGGGGGCATAACTAAGTGCTGAATATAAAATTAAGCTAGATGGTGTTGAAGCCGATGAGAACTGATTTGAGCTAGTACATTTCAAAAGGGTTTTACTAAAACAGAGTTGTTTCCACTCTTTGTACACCATGATAAAAGTGAGAAATACTTGCGTACAAGTGGAGAACCCAGGAATGAAGATTATGTTTCCTCCAACTGGCTTCTAGGATGTGCCAAATGAGATCCAGCTGGAGGGTGAAGACAGGCCATTAACCATTACTTCATTCCTTCCCTCACAACTAGGCCTCCACAGCCCAGATAAGCATTCAGGGCAGCTGGCATTCAGGCTGTGCCCAGAAACACAACTAGCCTTTCTGAGGTCAATTCTGAAGCACTGAACCCCAAATGGAAAGACTGCAAATGTGCACCAGAATGTAACAGAGCATCCTCTGTCTGTGCGGCCAGTGCCCTGGCTCAGCCTCCCCAGCCTAGCTAACTGGCCCCACCACTCACACTTGGAGGCCTTCATCCATCAGTGAAGGTCAAGTGCCATAGAGTTTGCTCTAGGCCTGTCACAATGCAAGGGCCAACAGCGGACAGAAGAAGAGAGACACAGAATGGAGGTCATGAGCATGAACTGTGGAGTAAAACTGATATCAAGTCCAGATTCTATATGTTCCTAGTTGTGTAACCCTATGCAAGTTACACACACTCTCCAAATTGCAGTGTCCTCACGTGTAAAATGAGGGGAAATATTTAATAGGGTTGTTGTAAGAATTGGTTAGCACACTGACTAAAACTCATCAACCAAAGTAGGTAGGCTTCTTTGTCTTAGAGCTTTATCCAAAAACCTATTCTAACTCTGCAACACGTTTGCCAGCAGAAGAGTAGTCCCCATGAAGCTGTTATCTGTCATGAACCACACATTGTGTGGGCCAAGAACGGGGCAAAGCAGAAAGCTCTCCATAGACTCACAGGCAAATGCTATCCTCATTGATACAGATCCTTAGTTTCTCTTTGCCTGAAATCAAATAAGTTAACATGTAACCAATAAAATCAGGTTCTGAAGCAACTTCCTTGTGTTTTAGAAAGGATACCTGCCACTCTCCTTAGAGGGAAGCAAAAGGCATGACTAGTAGCTGCTGGGGAGGGACAGGGAGATATGGCCTTAATCAGTGACTGCTGAGTCAAAGTCGGGGACGAGTTTTCTGAAACTTCATATGTGTCATTTCTGGGCCTATTAGTTCTACAGGCTGTTAACACAAACTAGTGTTAAAACTTAAGTGATTATGGAGAAAAATGAGGCTTGAATGGAAACCCTTCTTAGCACTATAGGAGGTAAGATTTCAAGTCAACAGAAATAAAGGTGACAGGTAGATGTGTTAAATTACTGTGTGTTGTGAGTTTAAAAAAAAAAGCAAATTAATGTCAACATGGGGAGGATCAGTAACACATTTGTAAAGTGAGCTCCTTGGTACAGTTCTATTGAGAAGGAGACTTAAGAAAGATTCAATGTCCTCATGATAATGTAAGTACATGAGAATACTAACCTCTCCTAATATATTAAAAACTATGAAACTCAAACCTTAGTATAGAAATTCAAATATATCATGTAGAAGTAACATTAATGACTGCAATAAAGGCAGAAAACTTGAAAATTAAACCTGAAATAATTAAGTCAGGATTATATCTAATACATTTAACAAATCTTCCAGAGTTCAATGGAAAAATATATGTTCATACCCCGGTTTATCTCCATGCTGGTCTTATACACATTGGGAAAAATAAGGGAGTGTTCTTTCTTTCTGTCCAAATGTTTTTTGAATTTGTCCAACATTATTTCTAGACTCTGAGCAAGATCAGGCCTCAACTCTATATGCTTTTTGAAAGACTCAAGACAGCCTTAGAATTCAATCTAGTCATACCACTGCTATTTACACACACAGTGGTATTACTAATCTGGGTCACAAAATTTCAGTGAGTGGCTACCAGGTAAGGAACTGCCAATCTCAGTCTCATGTGGTAGTATTCATACAAGTGAGCTAGAATCTGGCCTAGTTGGGCCACTGGAACTAATTAAGATTTGAGGTTCAAGTTTTCTCATGTCTGCATAAACCTCCATGTAGAGAAATCATCACTTACTGTTTAATAAGGAGGTGGAAGTTGCCAAGATGAGATATTAGCATCTGGCAACCATACTAAATTCACTGTCCTATGCTTCCATAGGTGTATAATCACTGTTTGATGGGAGGGCAATAAATCACTTTCCAAACCAAATGCTCTTTGCTTATGGTCCTTATTTCTCTTTTGTCTATCCATAGCACCAAATACTGGTTTAAGAACAGGAGATCTCCAAAAATCTAGTTTGAAAAACACACAAATGGGTTCACTGAACCACAACTTGACAAGTATATGGGGAGTAGGGTGAAGTGGGGTATGAGGAGAAGAAAAAGCAAGACCAACCAGTTTTGAAATGTAGTCCAAAACCATCTGTTCAATTTTCTTCTTTTCTACACCCTGTAGGTGTCTCAAAAAATGGTCTTTTAGCTCAGACACCATCTGAAAACAGCATATGCATTAGATAAGTCACAGCCTATCCATTCATACCTGCTTGGTTTGAATTAGATCCACTTATTAACATTCCTGATCAATATAAAAATATTGGATCTGAAGATCCCAGCAACAGAAATGCAAAACTCTCAATAGTTCTCTGGTGAGCATAAAAAAGGGGTCCCCAACATTTGCCAAAAAAAAAGTATTACTTATGATTCACCCAAAGCCCAGTGAGCAACTATGAGTAAGGCTCTAACTCTAATGAGAATCCTCCAAAGACAACAGTGAAAGTCACCAACTTAGAAGTCACAGGCTTTGGGATCTACCAAAGGATTGAAGTCTACTGCTCCTGGAGCCCTTGGGGATTAACTGAAACAACTCTATACATAGAATGACTGAGCCAATGTGGGCAACAGTTTTGTGTGTTTGGAAGGACAGAGGCATGAGTCAACGGGAAATAATCAGGTACTTCCCTCTACGCAGTGGCCACAGACCCTCAACACAGCCCTTGCCTCCAAATAGGCTTGTTTCTATACTCATTTTGACCATCCTTGGGCCTCTCCAGTCCACTAACCATTAGCATTCCCAGCCCTCCCACCTTTGCTTTTCTCCCTCCTCTTCTCTCTTTTGCCTAGACATCCTGTTCAGCAAGAGCAAGATGCCAGGGCAATGTTTCTGCCAATAAACAGCCCAAGGGAGTTATATAGCTTATATCACCTATGCACACATCTTCTATTTTAGCAGATTGACATCACAATACCCCAAGTAAAAACTCGTCCACAACCTTCAGGGCCAAGACATAGTGGTATCTTATTTCAATTCACTCTCATGCATGTGCCAATTAATTTGCCTTTAAATAAAAGATATTTTTGTTATAATACATAGTGCATACTTTGTGCTTTTCAATTTTTCCACGAAGATAAAAATTAAAATCACCCATAATCCTACCACCCACATTAACAATTGGGGATTGTTTTCTTTTTCCTGGTATGCACACTCATTCTAATGTTGTATGTTTGTCATTTAAACAATGTTTTCCATGCTTTTTTTTTTTTTTTTTTTTTTGACAGTCTTGCTCTGTCGCCCAGGCTGGAGTGCAGTGGTGCGATCTCAGCTTACTGCAACCTCCGCCTCCTGAGTTCAAGGGATTCTCGTGCCTCAGCCTTCCAAGTAGCTGGGATTATAGGTGCATGCTACCACACCCAGCTAATTTTTATATTTTTAGTAGAGACAGGGTTTCATCATGTTAGCCAGTCTGGTCTTGAACTCCTGACCTCAGGTGATACACCCACCTCAGCCTCCCAAAATGCTGGGATAACAGGTGTGAGCCACTGTGCCTGGCCATGTTTACCATACTATTTTAATGGGTGTACCATATTTAATTTTATAAAAGTACTATAATTATTCCCTTCTTGTATGTGTGAGATTTTTCTTTTATTATTGTTGCCATATCTAAACTAATCCTATTCTTAAATCCACATGGTATTAAAAATATGTTATTAGACTTCCACGATGTCTCTTTAATCAGCTTTTTAAAGGTTTTGGATTTATTTACAAATTCTGCTTTTCAATTTATGTCTGCTTCTTTGGTCTCAAGTAGTATTGTGACTACTTGAGAGAAAGTACTTTGTTGTTTTTTTTGTTTTGTTTTGTTTGAGATGGAGTCTCCATCTGTCACCCAGGCTGGAGTGCAGTGGTGCAAATCTTGGCTTACTGCAACCTCCATTTGTTAGGTTCAAGCAATCCTCCTGCCTCAGCCTCCTGAGTAACTGGGAATACAGGTGTACACCATCATGTCTGGCTTATTTTTGTATTTTCAGAAGAGAGAGGGTCTCACCACATTGCCCAGGCTGGTCTCGAACTCCTGACCCCAGGTGATACGCCTGCCTTGGCCTCCCAAAGTGCTGGGATTACAGGCATGAGCCACTGTGCCTGGCCTGTTCTGTTGTATTTTAAACCCCAAATGCAAATGCCACAAAGATGCAACTCTTTCCTTTTTTAAAGCACTCTCAATGGTATATACTCCTTATAATGGTTTGTAAATTACATATGTATTGATATGATTCATGTGTGTCTTCTCCCTTGACTACATATTCCAAGGGGGCAAAAATCGTATGGGTTGCTTATCACTGGACACACAGGGTCCATAATGCTGGCAAAAGTATTTGTTTAAAGAATATAGAATAAGATCAGAATGAGAAGCCCACTTTAGCCTTTTCCTCTCATCTTAGGGACCCTTGTTTGCCAGCCACTAAAGAACCCACATACCACTTACCAGCCCCATGAGCAGCCGCTGGCGGCTGTCCTCCTCCTGCAGGAGGGGCGTCAATCTTGGCTCTGAAGGGAAACAGAGCAACAGTCAGGCTCCGAGCAGTTTTCAGGAGATGGATTAGGACGAAGAAGAATCAGCCTGGGTTTCCCTTCTCTGAATCATTGGGAAAACACAACACTTCCCTGACAGGATGAAAAGTTTTTATCACCTAAGTGTGACCTAGTCCTACAAGCTGAACTTATCACTGAGGTAACACAGAAAGGAATATGAACACATGAGGAATGACCGAGAAAACAACACATTCCTCAACCCACCCCAATAGGCTCTAACTTTGCTTTTTGTTCAACACTAAAACTCACTGCTAAGAACCTCTTCTCCACTGGAAACAGAGGGACTTGGGCCTTCTCTTAACCCTTCTGGGGTCATAAACAGAGACGGGCTCAGTGGAAGGGAGTTGCATGGCTCCCTTCTACTTTATGATCCCTGTAGTTCAGTGGCTTTGGGAGTTACTGAGCTGAGGGGACCAGTCAATTACTGTGGCAAATAATACTAATTGGCACTAGTTTTCAGACTGCAAAGGTAGCTAGGACACAGTGGAAAAGCAATAAGTTAAATCATATTTTCTCCAGCATGATTTGCAATGCACGAGCAATCCACACTAGAGTGTAGTAGCCCCAGGGGCAGGTAAACCCAGTCTTGCTGGAAAATCTACCCCAAAGGGCTTCTAACATCTTCGTATTCAATTCTTTTTTCCTTAAATACTTGAGATCCAGTGCCAGGCAAGAGGGCAGAGCTGCCCTGCTCAGTGGGCTGGCAACTCCTTCTGGGAGGGCATGGATATCTCCTGACCACGTGTAATAAATCCTCCCTGGATCCTACACAACCCTCACGATTTATATGAAACGATTTAAAATGTGAATCCAACAGCCTGCATTTCACAGAACGTTCTGTTTCAGGCAGTGACATTCTTCATGGGGAACTAGTACAAAGCACGCGTAAGGAAGGGGAAGAGTTTTCCTAAAGTGCGTTAAGAGAGACTGACTAGTTAACAGAATGCAGGCAAACAGCCCTGACACACAGAGTAAGCAGGGCAGGAACCTTGACCAGACTAGCAACATTCCCCGTGTTGCAAAACCCCCAGCAATGCAAGGACGGTAAGCCTGAATCACAGGCATGCATGCCCCGAGCTTCAGTCACTGATGGTCTGGTAAGGCAGAGGCTGATTCCTCCCGGGCTGCTCAGTGAGCCCAGGTTCTGTCAGCCTGAGCTGGATGACAGGTGCGCTGTCACGGTTCACGGGGCTGTGTGCACAGCTGCAGGATGTGCAACAATGCACTGTATAAACTAGTTTCCATTACAGTCACCCAACATTCAAGCCCATAAAACATGAGTGGGATATAAAAACAACAGCTTATTTAATGAAGGCTGACCTTCAGGAGGCATGAAAGTGTTCTTCTGGCAACTACAAATAAGCCTGTGTCTGAATATTCTCAGCATTCTCCTCCCCTGGTTTCACCTGGCCAAGTCCTCCTTGTTTATCAAAACGTAATTCACGTGTCACCCCTGTGGGGAGCCTCTTCCAACCTCCCTGCCTCCTCCAGCCATCCCTGCTCCTGACCTATCCTCTCACTCCCTGCATCCACGGGTCACATAAAACCTGTCATTTGGTGTAGAAGCCACACATTAACATCTCTTCCTTACACACTAAGGATGAAGCAGCCACCTCAGATACCCACATGCACTAAGCACTGTGCTAGGTGCTATCTGCATTACCCAGTCAGTATCATTTTCTCCTCACTTCCCTGAGTAGGCCAGCGCATAAAATGGATAAGTGACTTGCCCAGGAGCACACGGTTCTCATGTGGCCATGCTGGAATCTAAGTCCAGCTCTGTCTAGCTCTCAAGCCTGTGCTCTTTCCCCAGAACCACATCTTTATGCCTCTAGGACCTGTGTGCCCAATTTTTAACCAAAATGAGAGGCACATACAAGGCAAGACCCAGTAGGATCAGACAGCTGGAAAGCAAGCAGTGCCAAGCCAAGGGAATTGATAAAATGCATCCTGTGAGCACAGCCAGAGGGCAATAAAGAGAACCACAGGGCCATCACCCAGGGACTCCCACGGCAAAAGCACATTCAGCAACTGTCCCCGGAGGCCCTGGTGCCCAGACAGACATAGGAAGAGCTATGCGGCCACTCTAAGAGGAAGATATTAAAGAAAATCACTTCCACACTACTGGAAGTCATTTTCTTGCCAACCCACAGTGGTAGGAAGAACAGCACTACAAACAGAACACTAACTGAAACCCAGAAGGCTTTATTACAGATCTTTTCTTACCCAAATTTCTTGCTTCTAGGTTAGAAATCACCCTACGAAGAAATTAGCCATGTTATTCACAGAGCATTGCTTTTTAAAAATTTAAAGCCACATCATACAAAGATATCCTCCTTTAAAATTTCATAACAACCACTGTGGAAACTATTCTCAGGCTGTGGAAACCTCAAAAACTTTGACCAATGTATTGAAAACCACATTAGGCAATTATAAAATCTCAAAAACCCTTTAGTGCCAACAACGGCAATAATTTAGAACAATTGTAGCTCTCAGTTATTGAATATAATGGGGAGAGAAAATGGAACACAGGTTGGAACGGAGCCTATACTTTTAGCACTCTGAAATGACTCATATATCCTGAAAATGGGCTTTCAAAATAAGAGCAAGCTCACTAGCCCACTGACATTTTAAAAAAAAAAATCAACCTACTATTTGCCTTTCTCTCCTAAAATGCTCACTAACAGAAAATTTACCACTTATCCATTGTAAACATCTATCCACAGGTTATAAATCTACATGGTTTAATAAATAAGCTTTTCCCACTAGGAATTCCAGCACCAAATTCCAGAATAGGATCCAAGTGGCTGCATGCATGAAGCTGACAATATCATTTTGCTGGGGATATGCAACAAAGTAAGCTATGTCTATAAAAGGTAGTCAACAAAATAAAGTAATTCTAACTGTTAATCATCTTACAGATACTATACCCTCTAATTTCACTTACTTTATCGCATTATCAAGAATATTCCTCACATATGCCGTGGACCTTCTTTTTCCTGTTTTCTGTGAGTGAGAATACATCAGGAATGTGGAAGGTAAAGGTTTTAATGGGTGACTTTTCATATCAAAGATATAATGCAATACAGTTAAGAACATCAGAGAGAAGAAATATACTTTCCAGATAATCAGAACACCTAGATTTTAAAAAATATTTTTAAGAAACTTTTTATTCTGAAACAATTACAGATTCACAGGAAACTGTGAGTCAACTATACACTATATACAACACTAATCTACATTCAGCAATACTACAGAGAGAGATCCAACATATCCTCCACCTGGTCTCCTCCAGTGCTTCTATTTTACATAACTAGAGCACAGTATCAAAAGCAAAACTGACATTGGCACAATGTATGTGTGTCATTCTATGCCATTTTATCACGTTTAGATTCATGTCTCAACGTACCACCACGATCAAGATACAGAATTCTTTGATCACCCCCAAAGATTTCCGTGTCACCCCTGGATAGTGAGTCACATCCACTGTTTTCCCTCCAACTACCCCCAACCCCTAATGACCACTAATTTGGAAACATCTAGATTTTTTAAAATCAAATTTTAACTACTTAAGTAACCTGGGAACACAGCTGAGACGTGGATATTAATCATACTTCTACTATGAATGTGCTGTGTGTCCCTTAACCCTTCTGCCCTTCAGTTTCCTCCCTGAGAGAACAGAGATCGTAGAAGCACCTCCACCTATTGAGATCAGTAATGACAATGTTCAAGTCCCTGGCAACTGGGAATAGGACTGTACATGGAAGCCAGTCTTATGATTTAAGGGCATCACCTGGATCCAGCCCCCTATGCCTGGCTGCTGGCTTTGTTCTCACTGACCCACTCATACCTCTTCAGAGATCAGGTTTTGCCACTCTCTCCTGACCACACTGTTGTTATAGTGGAAGTGTGGCTTGGCGTACTTGACATATTCTAGGTTGGAGTTCAATTTTTCCCAGTAGCCCTTAAAGCTGTGCACCTGTAGGAGACAAAAACATCGGTGGTCTTTAGGAGCAGGCCTGGTGGTCCAAACTACCCAGTGAGTATCACACAAGGCTTATTTCCCCAGCTCTCAAGGCCCACATTTCTAAATGAATACTTTGGACAGAGGATGGCATTCTAGACCCAATAGCAATTCTAACATAGACTTAAAGGATCTTGTTTTCCCACTTCATTTTCTATCTTTTTTATGTGGTCTTTTTAAACCACACAGAGAAATGCTGCTCACTTCCCAAAACCAACAGGACTTCCCTGAGTTGAGGCTTAGCGGGGAAACCTGTATTAAACGTATCAAGTCATTTCCTCCCTAGAGACCCATTTTTGTGACTTAGGTGGTGTCAACAATGCCATATTCACTAAAAGAAAGTTCATAACATTTGGATAAGTGGAGTAGATGAACTTTAAACTTATTTACTCCCAAGGACATTTTTCAAAACCTAAGAATCAAAAAAGGATGAAATGAACTAATTTTACAGTCAGTTATCACATACTCCAAAACAGAATTAGTCAGCATTCTATCTAGGTTTTTGAATTATTGATATAATTGCACTACCCTGAAGCAGGAATGCATCCATTATATTCATTTTTAAATAATAAAATGCAATGTTAATACATTCTTAGTGTTGAAGGATATACTGACACAAATTGGTTTTAAACCAATAGACTTTTGATACTTTTTGCCAAAATATCTACATTTACAAATGATTTGACTGGGGCCAGAGATGTAATGTGTGGTCATAAAACCAAGTGAGCTATTGCCTGCCAAGGTGACAGACTTGGCTGAACTGCAAGAAAAATAGGAAAACTTTAAAAAATATACCTCGACCAAGAAAAATGCCCTGATGCTAAATTACAGCACATTATTAACATTTTTATTCAAAGGACAGTCATAATTGGCTTGAAATGTATTTTGTAATATCAGTAAGGTAAGCAACATAATATTAAAACTTGTTCATTCCGAAGCCTGAAATACCCATCCAGCCAACATCCCTCCTCCCAGAGACAGAAAAACTCTTCCCAAGAAAGTCTCATTTCCAGGAGAAAACACAAATCAGATCCCACTCCTCACTTGACCCAACTCACTTGTCTTTTCTTTTTCTTTCCATTTATTTATAATGAATGTACGCTTATCCACCCTTTGGGTCTTCTTTGTCTTTGAGGAAAAAAAAAAAAAAAAAAGACAAGACAAATCCTGCAGACGTTTGGCAGAATTAGGTCCCTGACTGGAAGTCACTACAGCTTTCGTGCTGTCCTAATCTGGGCTCAGGCACAGGAGTGCCAAAAGCCAGAAAACTAATTGGTGTTGTGGTGACATCTAGTGGTCAGGTGAGCTATTAACTCCGCCTGCTTAGCCACAGGAGTCCCACCGGGCAGTTCGTCCACAACCTTATCCAGGACAGGACAGGGGAGGGGAGAAACTCAGGTGCCCTCTACCTGTCATCTGGCCCCACCCCCTCAAGTCAAATGCTATCACTTTGTTAGAAGGCGCCACCCACACTGCAGCTCCGAAGATCTCTCCCACATTACCTCCCTTCTCAATCCAGTTAAAAAATCCGTTTCCTCATAACATTCTGGGGAGGTAGGCACATTTCTCATAGGTGTTTTATTTAAAATTAACAAATAATAATCGTATATATTTATATATTTATGGGTTGCAATGTGATGTTTCAATACATGCATACCTTGTGGAATTATCAAATCAGGCTAATTAGCATAGCCATCTGTCTGCTAAGAAGAAACACATCAAACAGAGCTCACCACATGTCTGTGGACAGGCTTTAGGGGGGTTCCAGCACCCACTGCCTGAATGTAAAATAGAGCATGTGTTTGTATAAGCACTCTTCTGAGGAGATGGTCTGTAGCTTGCACCAGATTTCCAAAGAAATCCATGGTCTAAAATAGACTAGAGTTAAAAGCAAAAGGATCTGAATTTAAAACAAAAGTTAAAACTAACATTTAAGTAAGAAATACTGTTAGCCAAACATCCCAAAAATATTTTCACATGAACTTACATGTTTTTCAGGGAGGTCTCTGGCCTATTTATTATAGACATCAAATGTATCTATACTATCTTACAGATATTAAGATGATACAGAAAAAAAACAACATATGTCACTATTTGGTATCCACTAGAAAAGTGATATTTTTTTTTCAGTTAAGAAATGCACAGAAATTCATTCTAAATTGGAAAGTCTATTTGGAAACCTGGCAAACAGACGTGGCACAGGGGAGGGAAATGGATTTGAGTCAGTGAAGGACAAGGAAAGGATGTTCTAGGTGGGACTCTTAGGGTGTGAGCAAAGACAGAGACTAGAACATGGAATTGGGGTTCACATCTGAGGCAGAGCATTAGAGCCAACAGCACTTCACTCCCTGTGGTGAACACAACAACCTCCAACATGTGCCACGCCCAGCCTCTGCTGCCCATTGGAACTACCTGGGTCCCATCCCCAATTTGATTTAGTTGGCCTGAGGTATGCCTGAGCCTTATGAGTTTTACAAGTTCCCCCAAGTGATCCTAATGTTCAGCCAGGACTGAGAACATGTTTGAACATGTTCAAGTAATCCCAGGCACCCCACCCTCAAATACTTTACTAAATCTATACACCTTTGGCTTAAAGGCTATATAAATCACCAACTGTCTAAAGACTTGTGATTGTGTAGTTTTAAAATAGGAGATATAAAGAGGTAGTTAGGGCCAAATCTTTGAGGGATTCTAAATGCCAAGGTAACACCAGCATGCTCAGTATCCCAGAGAATAAAAGGATCTCCCACATAACATTTTAGATGTTGTAACCCAGAATGGAGGGGAGAGAATCTGCACAATCCCATACTAAGAGCCAAGACACGCCATCACACCACTATGCTCTAGGATGAGCCTGGTCAAGAAACAACAGATGCTGGTGAGGCTATGGAGAAATAGAAATGCTTTTCCACTGTTGGTAGGAATGTAAATTAGTTCGACCATTCAACCATTGTGGAAGACAGTATGGAGATTCTGCAAAGACCTAGAACCAGAAGTATTATACCATTTGACCTAGCAATCCCATTGCTGGGTATATGCCCAAAGGAATATAAATCCTATTAAAAAGCTACATGCACGTGTATGTTCTCTGCAGCACTATTCACAATAACAAAGACATAGAATCAACCCAAATGCCCATCACTGATAGACGGGATAAAGAAAACGTGGTACATATACACCATGGAATACTATGCAGCCATAAAAAGGAACAAGGTCATGTCCTTTGCAGGGACATGGATGGAGCTGGAAGCCATTATCCTTAGCAAACTAACACGGGAAGGGAAAACCAAACACTGCATGTTCTCACTCAGAAGTGGGAGCTGAACAATGAAAACACATGGTCACAGGGAGGAGAACAACATACACTGGGGCCTGTTGGCGGCAGTGGGGAAGGAGAGCATCAGGACAAATAGCTAAGGCATGCTGGCCTTAATACCTAGGTGATGGGTTGACAGATTCAGCAAACCAACATGCCACATGTTTACCTATGTAACAGACCTGCATGTCCTGTACACATATCCTGGAACTTAAATTTAAAAAGAAAACAAAAAACAAACAAACAAACAAACAAACAAAAAAAAAAAACAAACATGAGGCTGGGCACAGTGGCTCACGCCTGTAATCCCAGCACTTTGGGAGGCTGAGGCGGGCGGATCACAAGGTCAGGAGATAAGGACCATTCAGGCCAACATGGTGAAACCCTGTCTCCACTAAAAATACAAAAAAAAAATTAGCTGGGTGTGGCAGTGCACACCTGTAGTCCCAGCTACTCGGGAGGCTGAGGCAGGATAATTGCTTGAACCCAGGAGGCAGAGATTGCAGTAAGCCGAGGTTGTGCCACTACACTGCAGCCTGGGCAACAATGTGAGACTCTGTCTCAAAAAAAAAAAAAAAAAAAAAAAAAAAAAAAAAAAAAAGGATGAACCTGGAGCACAGGAAATCACTGTCAATCAGCTAGCACTTATCCAACAAGGCAAATACTGTCCTCATCCGGAACAACAGCACCACAAAATGAAAGCCACAACTGCCCAGGAAGCCCATCACCAGCTACTTGCAAAGAGCTAATAAAGCTTTAAAAATAGTACACAAAAAAATGCTGTATAAGTAACTTAACATGCCGGGTACAGTGGCTCACACCTGCAATCCCAGCACTTTGGGAGGCCGAGATGGGTGGATCACTTGAGTTCAGGAGTTCGAGACCAGCCTGGGCAACATGGCAAAACCCTGGCTCTACTTAAAAATGTAAAAACTTAGCTGGGCGTGGCGGCATGTGCCGGTAGTCCCATCTACTCTGAAGGCTGGATGGGAGGACTGCTTGAACCTGGGAAGGTGGAGATTGCAGTAAGCCAAGATCATGCCAATGCATTCCAGCCTGGATGACAGAGTGAGACACTATCTCAAAAAAACAAAAGAAAAATACCCCTGAATTAGAGACAATGTTAGAAGCAATCAGATCCTCAAGGAACGACTTGGAAGCATTTTCCTACATGAAGGGGAGTTTTTTTCTCTTAGGATGACCTCAAATAATTGCCAAACACAGCCCATCACAACTATTCATTGAACAAAAGAACCAGTGGGTTACATTAAGAAACTGTTTCCCATTTATGATTTGGATTGCCAGTTGATCCAAAAACAAACAAACCAAAAAAGCCCTGGGGTACTGGCTCATCTGCAAATTACTGTGAGAAAAACACATCTGCCTTTCATTTCTAAAAGGCCCTCTGGCTTTGGTCCTACTTCTGCTGATTAACCAGCATCTTCTTACAGAGGAGGCAGCCAACTCAAAGAGAATCCTTTCCTCTGTGTGCCAGGACTCAACTAGCACAGCTAAAGCATCATCCAATTTAGCTCTTCAGTGGATCCCATCTCAGTATCAGCTTTTACTTATAGCCCAGAGAAACACAGTGACCCATTACCTCTAAGCATTGACAGAATAAACAAAAAAAGTTTGTGTG